GGGGGGGGGGGGGGGGGGGGGGGGGTAGCGGGTGTAGAATCATTTGCGATGGGGCGAATAGCTTGAGTAATAATGTTCGCTGGAAGGTGTACAATGGAGTCGAAATCGATATGGTAAATCATATATGGATTATGGACTTGGCTATTTCTCTATGGCCTACTTTTTGCAACATTGAGAGGATTGAAGGCTGTTCGGTCAACAATTTATCACTTCGGATAATAGTTGGGACCATCAGAAGTTGCTGCTCTGTTTTGGTGAAACACTTGTTGACAGGATTTGTGATGTCAAGCTTTGGACTGAACTTAACACAGACTCGCTGGAGTTCAGTAAATGTCTGCTTGGCACCTCAATCTTGGCCATCTGCTATGATTCTTTATTCCAAGGTGAGGAGAACCAGGTATATACCATTATGAAGCTCGGGTTAAGGCCCCGTGAGCACATTTTTTGGTGGAGGATTTACATGGACCTCATCCCTACGTGCGAGTGGCTGAATCGGCGAGGCCTGTGTACCGATGTGCAATGCCCGATTGGGTGCCAACAATTGGAAGATCTGGACCACTTAACAACCCAATGCAAGCAGCTCGACGAGGTTATAAAACGTTTGGAGATATGGGGGTTTCCTACCCCTAGGTTCTCTTCGCTTGATGAGCTCAAGGTTGCACTGAAGAGGGGTCTTTCGGCCAAGGCTCACTGGCCCCTAATCTACTGTGCGGCTGTGCACCTTTGCTGGGAGAATAGAAATGCTATTAGACATGGAAAGGGTACTACCTCTACTACCATAATGGCCGTTAGGATTCTGGGCTCGACCTCGCAATGTTTCTTTTCGCATAACTTGGAGCAACGGTTCACCATTCAATCCGCTAGATTGTTTCAATCTTATTCTTGGTGTCCCCCCTATAGGTTGGTTGAAAATTAATGTTGATGGTGCGGTGTGTAGGTCCAATGCCGGCGGGGTGGGCATTGTCATCCGGGACAGCTCCTGCAACCTGATCACTGCGGCGGGTTGGACTATCACGCATTGGGATACTACCCAAGTGGAGATTATGGCTGTGCATTATATTGATAAACTTATCCTTGAATGGATGTTTGATGTTGAGGGGGTTATCGTTGAGGGGGACAATGCGAGTGTGATGGAGTTCATGCACCGTTGCAAGCAGGAGGAATTGTGGAAGCTCCGATCGGATGAAGGACACAAGCTAAACTGGGTTAAATCATTCCAAAAGGTGTTTTTTGTTCATACTTATAGAGAGCATAACAAAGCTGCTCATTTTTGTGCTCAAAGAGCAATTGAGGATAGTTTTGTTTGGGATGTTGGAGATAGCAACAATATATGTATTCCTCAAGTTATTCTTTCTCTAGCATGTTCTCACTTGCTCTCTCTCTCCTCTCTCTCTCTCTCTCCCTCTCTCTCTTGCTCTCTCCTTTGCTCTCTCTTGCTCTTTCTTGTTCTTCATCTAGCTTGCTCTCTCTCCTCTCTCTCTCCCTCTCTCTCTCTCAATTGCACTCCCTTGCTCTTTCTCTCTCTCTCTCTCTCACTCCCTCTCTCTCTCTCTCTCTCTCTCTCTCTCTCTCTCTCTCTCTTACTCTCTCCCTTGCTCTCTC